GTGGGTTTGATTTAAAACCAATCATGACAATGACATATTTGCCTCACCTGCAGCAAATGTCGCAGCAGGCTGCAGAGTGGGATCCCGAGTATCCTTTGTGGTCCTCCATTCCCATCGGCCATTACTGGTCAAAGCAGATTGGTCAACTCGGACAGCTACGATGGAAAATTGTGGTTAAAAAATCAATACATTTTCGCTTTATATAACCCCAAATAAAGTTTGAAGATGTTTTTAAGGCAATTATGTAGCTTTGTTAAACTCAATATCTGCCTGGTTGGCCAGAATTAAACTTTTTCCAGACCTGACAACTTTTTTCCATTAACCATATATGTCCTAAAATGTGCACCATGTGGTGGTTGGTTTGTGATTGGCCTCAAGGGAAATAGCAACATTTGACCTTGGCCCAGCAGTGCTAATTCTGCTATTTAAAAGTGTAATGGAGGAGTTTTGCGAATTTTTTAAAAGACCAGCCCTCTCCACTTAAAAAAAACAAACAAACACTTGCACAACCCAATAGGAAATGCCTATTAAACGCGTGCAAGAGCATGAATAAGCCCATTTCACCTTGTTTTACTAGCAGTGCTGTGAAATGGATTACTCCAAATAGCATGCCAGACCTTATCTGTGAAGTAGGAACTTTGCGACCGAGACATTAGTCAGAAGCGTGACCTGTGCTTTCAGTGTACACCATCATGTGAAAGAATCTGCCGTAGAAAGCGTAGCTCACCACACATATATGCCTGAAAGTGCACATGTGCAGAAAAAGATAGCTAACTGGGGAAGAGCCACTGATCTCTGGGACAAACACGAAAGGATGGCCTTACGTAAACATATCACCAGAATGATTGACAATTAGGAGGACCACTTATGTTGATGATCCACCTGGAAAAAGATCATCTTCCACTATACCACAAACTTCTCTCCTTTTTAAATATGTAGGTATGTGTAATTCCTGTTTACATGTCATGTATATACAGTGTTTGTGCAGCAAGATGAGTGTTTTTTTTTCCTCTATTTTAGGTTAAGTGCAGCTTTTGGAAACAGGTTCCAGAGGAGACCTTTGTAACAAGCTTCACTGTTCAGTTTGAGGCTCATTGTCAGCCAACAGAGCAAATTCTCATGCAAGGCCAGACTGTGTGAAAAAAATCAATGAAAACGATTTACAGACAAAATATATATTTTGACACTGTGGAAAAAAAGTGAAACTGACTCTGCAGAAATTATGTCAGAGCAGACACATTCTTAACATACAGCATTGCTTGCTGTTGCGTGGCTGTTTACAAGTAGAGGTTTGAAAGGAAGGGGGAAACAGTGTCAGGTTAGCAGCCAGATGGGATTATTTTTAGCCGAAGATGCTTCTTGACGTCACATTTGTGCTCTCAGTCCTTTAGTATTTTTATTTGCACTTGTGACCCAAACCTTTTCCCCATTACGAGTCATGCACTATTGCTACAGAGACTTGGTTCACCCGAAGGAAAACATTGTAAGGGTAACTGTTGATTTTGAGTTTATATAGAGTCAAACCACTTTAAGAAAATAGTTTGTGGTATTTAGAGCGCAGCAATGCATTGAAACACAATTGGACATAATGTAAAAGATCATTTCCACTGCCTCTAAAAAATTTGCAAACAGTTTTTTAAAGATTTATTCAAGTGACCTAATTACTGTTGTTTTGATTTTAATCATATCTTTAGGAAAATATTTAAGGAGCTATTAAATGTTAGTTTCAAGATCTTAAACAAGAATGTGCAGTATTTTACAGTGTGGGTCTTTAATGCCTTTCACAATTACAAGCTAATATTAGCAGGTTAATTATCTGCTCCAGTCCAAGAACGTAATCCACCACTACAAAGGATAAGGGTTTGGACATACCTATTTGTATACATATGCCATATTATGTGGGTCAGTTCACATCACGTCATATATTTATATCATACCCAAACAAAGGTTAATAAAAACAACCATTTTCATATGTTTTTTTCTCCTCTTAAAATGTAAATCACTCTAAAATCAAGTTATGTAGACTTTTATTTTATTTTTTTGCAGAAAAAACACATAAACTGGGTCAATGGGCTACTATTCTAATGTTAGCATGCTGTTTTTTTTTTTCTTAACATTTTAACTTGAGCCTTTTAAGTTCTACAGTGTATTTTTATAGTGCCAATTCACAACACATCTCAAGGTACTTTACAGAGTCAATTCAATCAAATCATGCAGGTTTGTTCTTTCTTTTTGTTAGCTTTTTTTTTAAAAGTATATCTGTCATTTGCTTTGCAGAATACAATATTTGTATTAAAACAAATGGTGCTGCTGTAAGCAGTTGAATTGTCCTATCAGTTGAGGCGGTTTGGCTGCAAAAACAGTTTACTCAGACAAAAGCCTCCATGGTGGGTCATCCTGTCTTCCTTGGCAGCACCAGCTTAGGGCCTCTTTCATAGTCACCTCCTTGTAGTAACCGGCTTTAACTCTAAAGACTCAGGTTCAATAGGATCCACCAAACCTCTTTGCATTGGCAAGGGGATGAAAATTTGTCTACTTTAAAAGATTTATCCATGTTGTAATTATCAGTGTCCCACTGCTCACTCTACATCGGAGGTCTTCAACAGGGGGTCCGCTGCCCCTAGGGGTTCCACAGAGGTACTGCATGGGAGTCACGAAAGTTTTGGTGATTAAACTTTTTTTATATTCCACCCTGCAATTTTTTCCTCTAACTGAAATGTCTTTAAATACACATTAACATGAATTCAACGCACTGTAGTAAACAGATAAATGGAGGCAGAAGATGTCTTTCAGTCATCAATGCACACATTCAGCGACACACAGGGGCTCTTTCAAGCTGGGCACCGTTTCATTCACAACACCTGACCTGTCCCATCAACCAGGAATCAGAATCAGAAATCGTTTAATAATCCCAGGGAGAATTTACTTTCATTACATTACTCCATATGTAATAAAATTACTATAGGACCAGTTTGATATAACACGCACTTTGGTGATAATCTTAAAAATTGGTCTGTGGTCGGTCAAAGGTTATTAAATCAGGAAGAGTTACACCTTAAGCTTTAGTGGACAGTTTAATTTCTTAATATTGACATATCCAGAGTCTTTGTAAAGTAACTTCTGAGATAGGCACCAGCCCGCCAATGACCTTGTGGGTTTATTCACTGAAAAAAAATATGCAACCATTCTTTGGTATTTACTTAATCATATTTAGTTACTTTAACACAATTGTTTTATGTTAGCAGAGTAGGACATAAAACAACTGTGTTAAAGTAACTAAATATAATTAAGTAAATGCCAAAAAACGGTTGAATTATTTTTTTTTCTGTGTATAAGGAATGGCATTAAACATGCAGCATTGGGGAAGTGGCGGCTTAGTGGTTAGGGCATAGGACATTGGAATCCTGAGGTTGTGAGTTTGAAACCCTCTGGCCCCCTGAGCAAAGACCCTTAAACCCACACTAGTGCCACTGGGTTAAATGCAGAGAGTTTATTTCATTGTGCTGTACTTGTGACAGTGTAATGACAGTAAAACTCTGGGAAAAAAAATAACAATGCAGGAAACTTTCATTTAAATGGTTTGCCTGTAGACTAGTAAAATAAAACTGATTCAACCTAAATAACTAGGTAAAGTATAAAGTGCCACACAGTTGAAAAGAAACACTAGACAGTACTGTTTCAAACTAAAAAAAGGGTACAAAACCAAAAATGATCTTAACCATTTATAGGGCACTCAGTGAAATACTTTGTAAATCAAAATTTCAAGTCAATAGTGTTATTGGAATCCGGGATAAGACTTTATTACCTTTGTAACATTAAAAAAATATGGATATTTTGATGGCAAAAATTTATGTAATAAGAAATGCAAACTTGCCCGAAAATTTTAAGAAAAATAACAAAATTGCTTCTATAAGAAATTCATGAAAAACACAGAGTGAAAGAAACATGTTTTTTTTATTTATTTTTTTTTTTTGCTACAACCTTAGAGGCATTAATGAAATAATATATAATTTTAACTTATTACTTTACTGTATTACTTTACTTTTTAACTTTTAAATTAGCTTTTCACCTTTTTTTCTTGACTTCTTAAGTTTTTTTATTTATTTCTTAATTTACAGTATATATATATATATCATTCAAGGGCTCATCTAATTGGTCAAATGGTAAAATAAGATGTACAGCCATGTAGCAGTATGAAGGGTTAAGGGTACTATATATATATATATATATATATATATATATATGAATATATATTATTATTTATTTTTTATTTTTTCCACAGGTTTCAATTTTGAAAACCTTTTCACACCTCTTCTGCAAACCAGTCAATACATATTACAATTTCCTTAAATTGTTTACAGAACTTAAATTTGAGCTAATTTTGTAGTCGAAAAAGATCACTTGTACGGACATCATGGTATAAAACTGATTCTGAAAATGGCAAAGTATGCATATTTATATATAGATATATATGTGCTAAACTAAAGTATGACACACTGCCTTTTGTTTTTATCAGGGTCAGCTGATGAGGTGGTGGAAGTATCTTGTTTCTCTGCCTTATTCATCTCAACATCTGTCTCTGTAAGTCCTGATTGAGTCGTAGCCGTCGGAGTCTCGCTGCTTCCCTCTTCTGCATCTGTTTTTGTTTTCTTCCCCTCACTTGGTATTGAATCTAAGACAGCGGTCTCATCAGAGTCTTTTGTGCTTTCCCCCTCCAGACACCAGGTTGTTAGCTCAGCTGCCATGTTCTGAAGTGGTGCATTTTCAGTCCCACTCGGCACATTGTCCTCTCCATTTCCATCGCCTTCGTCTGCAGTCTCTGCCGGTGAGGCTGTCTCTTTCTCCTCCACCCTGTGCTCTTTACCTCCAGCCTCTTCTTTTTCCTGTGTAATCATATCAACCGGAGTCAGAGCAGTAAGATCCAAGCATGTTTTAGGAGAGGACTGTGCCTTCTTCCTGGGGGGGACATTTGGCTTATCATGCTCTGGTTCTTCCTTCTCCCAATCTTCTTCTTTCTTTTGAGCTCCAACATATTTCTCATCCAGGGCTCTAGGACCATCATCTATTCCCTCCCAGTCTAGTTCATCTGATGGCAACTCATAGCTTGATAAGCTGAGAGGATCAATAGGGATTTCTGGCACTTTGTCTACAGCTATGGTGACACTTTTTTGAGTCTTGATACTGCTCTTTCTTGTTGGCTGCACGTTGTCATCTTCTAGTGATCGAGGAAAAGGTTCTATATCACAGGGAGAAGAATTGCCACTGGACCTGAAGAAGTCTGTGACTTCTTCTGATTGTTGTTTATTTTCGTTTTCAGACTTAACCAGAATGTCCTCAAAGTCATACATATCTTGGGGCAGGGTCCGAAGATCTTCTTCTGTGAAATCATCTGTATCTTGCTGTTCCGTCTCTACGGCAGGAGTCTCATCAATTAGGACATATTTCTCTAAATATCCCCTGGCCTCTCGATCTGACTGCCTGCTATGGAAGGACTTCTCAGACGTCATGCTTTCCGTGTCCTCGTCCTTTTTCCTGCTGCCCACTGCTTCCTCATACAGGTCGGTGTAAAGGAAAGCCATGGCTTTTGGCTCTTCCAGCAATATTTGGTCAATGATTTTTGCCGGTCCCTCAGGTAAGAAGACCGGTGTTAGGATGTCCTCCTGGCTACTGAACAGAGACGAACCACTTGGTTTGGAAGCGAGCCTAGATGTTGGACCTTCTGACCTTCCAACTTCACTTGTACTGTTAAGACTTTTTAAAGGGTAGCTTTCTGTACCTCCATAGAAAACATCATCTAGGAGGTCACTGGTGATTTCCTCTAAACTGACTGTGTCTGAATTATCCACATCCACACTTTTGGTCAATGCGTGTTTGTCAGCTGGCACTGGTTTCTCTGTATCCATGTTGTCAGTGGCTGGCTTTGTTTCATTTTCCTCTTGCCCATGTGCGATCACTGCTGGGCTCCCTGGAGCCTGGGCATCAATGAGCGAGAATGCCTCAAAGTAGTCCACATTCCCAGTTGCTCCTCTCGCTGGAGGTCTGGCAACTGGAGCCCCTGGTGGGTCCATTAAACCAGCACCAGTAGGAGGTAAAAACTGAAACCGATCACCTAATTCTGCTGAGGATAACATCTCGGTTTCTTGAGTCTCCTCATTGAATTTAGGAACTGGGATCTCCTCCAAATACGACAGGTTGTCCACCATTTCTTGGCTCTCCTCTTCATCCACAGTCGCGAATTTAGGGGGGACAACAATGTTGAGAATTTCCGAACCCTCTGATACAATACTGAACAAACTCTGCTCTTTGTCCTCAAGAAGACCAGTCGCTTCCTCTTCTTCTCCATCTCCCTCACTTTTTACATTAGGTCGAGACACCTCCACCAACTCAGGTCGCCCATCAGAGGTTTCCCCCCAGTCTTCTGTCTGTCTTTCTGCTTTGCTCCTCTGATAACTAAGGCTTTCTTTTGGTTTTCTCTGTCTGGTAATCATATTTTCGTCCATGACAAAAATGATCTTCCCCGCAGGCTGGGAACCAAACGCTCCAGGTCGGACAGGTGCCGGAAAGGTAACATCCACTGTTCCAGCTTCAGGTGTCCACGGTGTGGCACAGCGACTTGCAGTTGTTTCCCACGCGATTCCGCTGTCCTCACCTTGCATGGTCACCATGGAGAAAGACGTATCCATCATTAGGCACTGCATTTTAGGTCGGACGCTGTCATCGTGGACGACCTCACGTAAACTATAGATATTTAGAAAGAAGAATGTACAGAAATAAAAGCACAAAATATCTTATTATGAAAGGGTGTTATGCAACATCTTCAGGTTCGCACAAGTTATTTTGATCCCAGAATAAAAGTGGATAATATTGACTAATAAAAATTAAAAAATAAATTTTATATTGGCTCATTTACTTAACAGTTTATATAAAATTGCATTACTTTCAATTGAATACATTCTGAGAGAATAATACCTGTTTCGAAGGTTCTCCACTTCGTCACTTGCTTCAGCGTTTTGTTCTCCAGCGTCATCTGCCCCCAGCATCTTCATTTCAGGTTCAACGTCCGACCGTGATAAATCCTCTGTCATTGTAGCCATTGCTAAGACTAAGTGGATTTCCTTCGGTTTCTCAGCACACTTTCAGAGCTCCCCTGTTGAAGACTTTCTGAGCAAGCATGCTCAAGTTGAGTTTTCATGCTCAGCGTAATCTGGAAATAGAAAACCGGCCTTCCCGAGTTTCATCTTAAGTATTTGCAGCATGAAGGGGAGTTCACTTCCAGTTTGTTCATTCAGTATGATTCTGTTTGTTTGTTGTATATGTTATAATGTCTAGCGATTTAACAACCTGGACAAAAATAATTTACAATTTGAAATGATCTGGTCTTTATTATTTCTGACAAGTCTATATTTACCTCATTGCTGGTGGCCTGTATCCAATGTCATGACTGAGTCTGCAGGTCACACAGAGACAAGTGTTGAATGTATCAGTTATGCTTTTAATCTATACAGATTTATTTACTTTATCCTTGTTTGTTAGTTGTCACAAATTTTACAGATAATCAAAGTTTAAAGTTAGACAAACCAATGTAACCACGAGTACAGTTTTAAAGTAATGAATTCAGTTATTAAAGGGAAAAAGCTTTTTAAATCATTTTACAAAATGGAATAAATGGCAGGGAGTCTTTTATACCATTTTGGAGGAATTCTTGTCCCCACTTGTTTTTATTCACTGTGGGTACAGAAAGTATTCAGACCTCTTTTAATGTTTTATTCTTTTTTTCACTGCAGCCATTTGCTAAAATCAAAAAAGTTCATTTTATTTCTCATCAATGTACACTCACCACCCCATCTTGACGGAAAAAAACAACAAAAATGTAGAAACCTTTCCAAATGTATTGAAAAATAAAAACCGAAATATCACATTGTCATAAATATTCAGACCCTTCGCTCAGCATTGAGTAGAAGAATACCTTTGAGCTAATACAGCCATGAGTCTTCTTGGGAATGATGCAGCTGTCATAGTTCTGGTTCTGTTATGTTTTCTTTTGAGTTTTCAGTTTTACTTTGCTATATGTTTTCTTGTTTTAGTGGTTTAATTCTTATTTTGTTGTGTTTTCTGGATGTTTTCAGGTTTTTATTTGTTGCCCTCTGCTGCCCTCTTGTGTTCTCCTTTTTCCTTTCCTGTTCTGCTCTCTTCACACCTGCTCCCAATCTGCTCGTTATTCCTCTCTTTGTTTCAGTCTCCCATAAATACACCCCCTGTTCAGTTTCTCAGTGCTGGTTCCTCGTCTAACTTCCTCCAACTTCGTCTCTCTGAGTCTTCCTCCTCGTGATAGTTTTCCCCCCAATGTCTCCATGGTTTCTGGTTGGCTTGACTTTGTTTTCATGTTTTGATTTTTGGATTTTGGATTCCTGCTTTAGTTGTTTGTTTTCTCCTAATTAAATCATCAAGAAACTCACCTCTTCCTCCCTGCCTCTGCATTTGGGTCCCCACACCACAACCTAATCCTGACAGCAACATGTTTTTTAACACCTGGATTTGGGGGTTCTCTGCCATTCTTCCTTGGAGATCCTCTCCTATTCTGTCAGGTTGGATGCATTTATTTTTTCCTCAATTTACATCAGTTGTCTTGTCCCCGCAGCTAAAAAACACCCCCATAGCATGATGCTGCCACCACCATGTTTCACTGTTGAGATTGTATTGTATTTGGCAGTGCCTGGTTTTCTCCACACATATTGCTTAGAATTAAAGCCAAAAAGTTCAATCTTCTTTCTCATAGTCTGGGAGTCCTTTGTGTGTTTTTTGTAAAACTCTATGGGGGCTCTCATATGTCTTGCACTTAGGTTAGGCTTCCGTCCGGCCACTCTGCCATAAAGCCCTGGCAGGTGGATAGCTGCAGTGATAGTTGACTTTGTGGAACTTTCTTCCATCTCCCTACTGCATCTCAGTCATAGTGATCTTTGGGATCTTCTTTACCTCTCCCTCCAAGGCTCTTCTCCCATGATTGCTAAGTTTAGCAGGACGGCCAGATCTGTGTCTTGCCCCAATTCTGTCTCTGTGCTCTGAAGCTATGAAGGAGCAGAGCAACCTCAAGGAGGATCAGAAGAAATGCACAGAATATAAGTTAAATATGAGTGTCACAGCAAAGAATCAGAATGTTATGACCATTTCAGGATTTTTCTTTTTAAATTTTCTACATTTCATTTTTTTCTGTCAATATGGGGTGCTGATTGTCCATTAATGAGAAATAAAATGAACTTTTTTTTGCAAATGGCTGAAATGAAACAGAGTGGAATTTTTTACAGGGTCTGAATACTTTTCGTACCCACTGTACATCAAAAGCATATGCATATGGCTGCAGCCTGGATACCTCTTAAATCACAGCTTAGTCTCCTGACATTCAACAGATGAATTCAAGCCATACTCCATGCTTTAACTTTTCAGAAACCTCACCTTACATATCATATTGTCAGTTCTCCTGTCTTATTGGTTTCTCTACCTTTTTAACATTTAGCTAGTTGCAATAAGAAAGTATGTGAAGAATTATGTTTCAAGATATTTTTTGATGGTTAACTTCAAGGTTAACATACGGTATGAATTTTGTGACTTTAGGTTATAGTCCTGTGAAGGTAGGGTTAGTACATAGTGAGCTGTGGCAACTGCTATGACATTGGAGTTCTGAAGCCTAAAGCCACACCTGGACTAACTAGTAGAGTTCAAGTACAAAAATTTTTTTTTAAAGAAAACATCCAGGCATGGGAAAAAATCTCTCAGAACACTGAGTTAGAATGTTCAAATTTTGGCTAAAGAGTCATCATGTATATAAATTGAATACAGTGGTGGCAGCATCATGCTCTGGGATTACTTTTCTTCAAATGGGACCGGCCTTTTTAGAATGGTGGATGAAGTGAAGAATAAATCAAAGGATTCCTGACCAGAAACCTTCTGCTGTCTGCTTGAAAGCAGAAACATAACTGTAAGTCCAAGTATGTGCCACAATCAACAAAGTAAAGGCCTAATTAGAAGACATAAAAATTCTAAATTCAAAACTAAACTGGACTGTAAATGTGAAATATTTACTGAAATGTTCTCTGGACAAACTGTGTCCTCACAATATGACATTTGGAAACCTTTTACAAAGGAAAGCTGCCTATTACTGACATAGAAATAGATCACAAGATGAATTCAACATACTATTGATGTAAAGGTGGTACACATATGCAACCAGTTTATTTCTGCTCTTTAATGGGAAATAAATACTCACTCTAAAAGTATTTTACCAGGATAGATTGAAACATGTTTTAAATTGCAAACGAAATGTTAGATGTCAAAAATACATTTAATATGAATTATCTTTATCAGATGTTGGTTAGAACAAATAATTGCTTTTAAAAGATGCTTTTATAGACTTTTTAAATGTACCCTAACACTAGAAAACTTATCAGACCTGTACAAACAAGATATTGATAGATTGATTTTTGAGATCGTCATTGCTAGATGTCTCCTAATTTAGCATAAAAAGCAGGAATTTAACCCCTTTTTCTCAATGAAACACTTATCGGTTCCATTTATAAACAATGAATAACATCCTCTATAATAATAGTGCAGTTTTAAGGCTAAAAAAAGGGGGAAGAAAAGCTAACTAGCAATAAAGAGTTGCATCTGAGCACACAACTTTTATGTTGTCCATCTATTTTCATGGTCAATTATTAATTCCAAAATCAAAGTGTCTCTCTCTGGCTCGATATCCATATAATCACACCATAAACAGGAAATCACATGGTCCCACAGACTGCATGTCGCCCCTCTCAAGATGGTGTGGGAAATGACGTGTGTTGTGGCGGACGCCTTGTTTCTAATTTCTTTTGCTTTAAGGGACATTACTGCCACCTGCTGGGCTGGAATATAAACAGGACGAATAGAGTTGATTTGAATAGAATAGAAATCCTTTATTATTACCACAAATTCAGATTTTTCTGTGGTAAAGCAAAAGGGTAAATAAAAGCATACAGAACAAAGAGCTACAGAGAACACGAGAAACAACAACAATTAAAAATTAAAGTAGTACAGCTATTGAACCAACTATTAAAGATAAAAATAATATATAAAACAGACCCCCTTGTACAGATTTTTTTATTAATATTTTGCATATTAAAAAAAGCTTAGAACTTTTAATACCAGTCTTGGTTCTTAGTGTTGAATAACTTATTTTCTTGTCCATATTTTATGTGAAATGCAACTGAGACCTGTATCAATTATTCTTGGTGTTTCTTTACATTCGTCTAAAATCCCACCACCCTATAAACCTCCAACATTAATAAATATTTGATCATCAATTAAAATTCTGATGAAAGGCATATTATAGATAAGAAGTGATGACAGTAAAAAAAAAAATCTTTAAGCAAATTTTGGTATTCTATCCCCTTCTAAAACAACTGGTTATAATGACCACTTGAATCGTCTGATTTCAGTCTGTGTCTGTGAAAATTCTTCCATGATATAACGGCTAGTGCAACTAAATATTTAACCGAGTAAAAACAGCTTTCATAATATTAAATATAAAACTTGTAAATTAGCATTATACAAACCAAATTTACCTGACAAAATTCACATCTTTCTGAAAAATCTAGACCTAAATATTATCTTGTTAATTCAGAAAAACAAGATTTAAGATATAATCTTCACCTTATTGGATTTTTAAAATATTTAGTAAGCTGACCTTAAATACCATTTCTGTTTTTTATTTTTTTTATTTTCATATATGCTATTACAGAAGAAGATTAGGGCCACCGAAAAAAAAAAAAAGTTAACTGATTTTTTAATATTATTTGAGTATAATATGAGAAACTTCTGACTTTAATCTCAGAATTCTGACTTTTTTTTCTCAGAATTCTGACTTTAATTTCACAATTCTGACTTTAATCTCAGAATTCTGACTTTAATTTCACAATTCTGACTTAAATCTTAGAATTCTGTCACCATGAAGGAAGAGATGTGGGGGCCTTCAGCTTCACTGACAAAGATGTGAGTTATTTGGGAGGGCCAGTAACAAAATGGGGGAAAATGACGGAAATAGGTGACTTTTTATGTGCCCGAGGGGTCCCTGGTGATACTATTTAATTAATGGAAGAGCAGAAGGTGATTAAAACAAGAGGGTTAGTTTAGTCTGTAAAACAGATATGGCTACGGCTTGATGATAACATGTTTGTTAGCTGTCAGAATTCTGAGACTGAATTCAGAATTCTGAGATTAAAGTCAGAATTCTGAGATCAAAGTCAGAATTCTGAGATTAACGTCAGAATTTTGAGATTATAGTCAGCATTCTGAGATTAAAGTCAGAATTTTGAGATTAAAGTCAGAATTCTGAGAAAAACGTCAGAATTCTGAGATTAAAGTCAGAATTCTGAGATTAAAGTCAGAATTCTGAGATTAAAGTCAGAATTCTGACTCTTTTCTCATATTATACTGAAATAAAATTCGAAAATCAGTTAACTTTTTTTTTCAGTGGCCCTAATCCTCTACTGTATCCTGTAAAAAATAAAAATTTATTGAAACAATTTAGCCAATCACTAGCATAGAAAAAAAAAACTAAACGTGATTCAAACGTGACGTGATGACGTGGCATTCACGCTCCCAACAGGAGCGTCGGATGAAGCTGTGCGATGAATGAGATGAGAGGCTGACAGAGGGCAGAGGGGTGGATGATGATGATGAATTTGATGAAGGAGCAGAATAATCAAGCCAACGAAGAATCAACGTCGTAGCTTCTCCTCATCTACAAGCCTGCTTTAGAGAAACGCAGAAACAAATATTCCTCTGCGCGGATGTTGGAGTTTATGTCAACGTAAAGAGAAAACGAGCTTCTTTTTAATCCCAGAGGAGGAAAAATCCCGAAGAGGAAAGCAAATGTCTTTTGTATCATCTCCAGAAGCAGCAGAGAGGATGGAGAACCGTCCGAGAGGAAGATGTCTGTCACCTCCGAGCTGCGGTCAATGCATCAGATCCAGTGAAACTCAATAATATTTTTCCCTGGGAAGCTTTTTTAGTTTATAATTTAATGGAAGGTCGGACTTTGGTTGAAAATAAGCGAGTCAAACTTGCATTTAGGAATTGATACAGGTTGTTTAAATGGGAATGGAGATGTAATCCCTCTTTTTTGGTTTAAATATTCATCTTCTTGCAAGATTTCACACCAGCTACTTATTTACAAACAAGCTAAAATTGAGGCTTGTTTATTTTTTAACGCTTCACCAGCATTTATCGTCGAGACTTTCAGTATTTTTTCAACTTTCAGCTAAAAAACAGCTACTAGTGGTATAAAGCAGGCTCCCTCTGCTATCAGTCTTCTCCAGTTTGGCTCCATAATCCTTGAAAGGCGAGCGGTTTGTGTTTATTGTCGGCTAACGGTAGCAGCAGCTAACGGCCGTTAGCGCTGCCGCTGTTCGGTTCGGTCATCATCATGCACCGACACGTTCCGCTCCCGACGAGACCAGCCGGAAAGGATGAGCCCAAGGGCATAACAGCTCAGCCAGACCTGTCTGAGTGAGAGCGGCTCCGCAGAGCCGGTCCAAACCCACAGCGGAGCGGCTTTATCCCGGGAGGAAGGGAGGGAGGATCAACACCAGCAGCAACCAGAGAGACCACACACTGGATTATTCTCCCACCCATCTTGGAACCCAAACCCAGCAGAAATGGGGTATGTAACCGGCAGCACACGCAACGAAAACCTGTAAAAACCCACTCAGCCTGATTCTTCTGCTACTGAAATTCATCTGCTAGCATGCTACTCCCAGCTAACTCCACATGAAAGGTTCCTGTCCATGAGAAAGGTTCCTGTTGGTGTGAAAGGTTCCTGTCAATGTGAGAGGTTCCTGTCGGCGTGAAAGGTTCCTGCCAATCTGAAAGGTTCCTGTCAATGTGAG